TGGTTTGCGCGATTACTTGCATATATAAATCCCGAATTTATGCATACAAAGCAATCGATTGATAATCGTCATGAAACCAAAAAAGGAGGCTGTAATTGATTAATTGTGGAGGATGCTCTATCGACCGGCCCGCCGCGTGTACATGTATGACATATGAGCTTTAACAAGTGTTTGGCCAAAATAAATTATACTCATATCCAAATCCTTAACCAGGAAGGAAAACTCTTAAAATCATTATTTGATTTTAAATGTCTCAACATGAAGCTTGAAATTTAAAACTTTTTATGCAACAATTTCCATTTTATGCATCTAAATAAGATTTAAGGTTCTTTGAATACACTATAAATTTATAACATATAAACAGTTAATCATAGCGCAGGTATTTTTTAACAGTCAACTTAGGGACAGATGATATAAACAAAAAATGGATGCCTGGGTTGATATATATTTCTTGGTTTATTTTTGTTGTAAATGTTGCAAATAATAAATTTCTAAATTATCAAGTAATTGTAAACCTCCTATGATGTTCAAAATTCTACTTTTCTACATCCATCCTTATTAATCTATACAAATATTTTTCGCTTAAAATGTCAGTGCTGTGAAACTGTGAATGAAAAACTATGCGGTGAAACGTGTTCTGTTTACTAATTAAAACATAATTTCAGTTGTTATTTTCAATTTTTATGACAAAACTTGATTGTATTATCTGTCATTAATAATTAAACAATCAGAATCTTGATGATGGAGAATGAACAAACCACACGTTACATGTACATGTATGCCTCTTTCGCTATACAACAAATATTTGTTGAGTAAGTCATAAAAATGTTTTCGATAAAAATGATTTGTTATCATGATCTTGTATTTTTAATGTCTACTGAAATCCATGCGCTTGTATTTGTATTCATAATGAAAATTTATAAAATTAAAAAAAAAGACTTTCTTTTATTTAGAGTTATAGCGAGCGTCGCGAAGCGACGCTCGCGAAGCGAGCTCAATAGACTAACGTGTAAGAACAGAGGAAATTCGGATTGAAATCTGTACATACGTCAGCCAAATTTCTCTGTGCAACATTCCCAGAATTCCTGCACTACCCAATGTCCTTTGCGCGAATATTGCCGAATAAATAAATAAATAATAACGTAAAGCATATATCAGACTTTCAGTTTGTAGAAATCTTTCAAAGAAACAAGAAATAACTCTGCAATGTTTTTCGACAAAAATTGCACTAGTTCTACAGTTTCAAACAGACGCTCGGCTGTCTCCGTAAGCTCCGACGAGCTTTGTGACGTCGTATGACGTCACAGCTATTCGAGATGTCTCGTGCGGCTTGACGTTCGAAGTGGCTGATCTCCAGTGTTTTTGATGGTACAACTGCGCTCGCCCCAACGGTCACACCGTAAAACATATTAATTTATTTTCTTACTACATATAAACAGTATACAATCAATCAATCTTCACTGTCTTTAAATATCAAACAAATATAAATCGTTGTTTTCTGATAACTTCCGAGTAATCGGTTATCTTTTATGAAGGAGAGCGATTAAAAAAAGTTGTAAAATGCCAATTGAGTATATCCGACATATCTTAATGATGTAGAATTTACAAACCACACATTACATGTATGTCTCTTTCGCTATGCAACAAATATTTGTTAAAAATCGAAAAATACAGACTAACTATAAACAGGTTTTTAAAAAAAATGTACAGAATGTGAATTATTTTTTTTTTAAAAATTAAAAACATAATTTTGAGAAGAAAAACATGGGGAATATTCATTAATGAAATATAATGCAAAAATTAATAGATTTCGATAAATTAATAAAGATGAAGAATGACAAAGTAAGACGTGGATATCCTGTTAAATTTGTTTTGTAAATGAATGTATAAAATCTTTTACTTAAAACAAATTCAAAAGCTTTGAAACAGTTAAATATTATAACTGGAAAATTAAATATGAATAACATGAAGTACATAAATACATTAACTTCTCCAGATCTTACCGGTTATAATATATGCCCTTGTGAAACACAAGCAGTTTTATCATAGTTTTTATTTTAAGTAGAACTTCTTCCTACCCAAGCAACTGCCCTCAGTAAAGCTAGTTTTGACAAAATCAACAACAGAACAGTTTTTATGATTCCATAAATGTTATTTATTCAAATGACGAAAATTCCAAGTTAAAAAATTACTGACAAGCCAAAAACTAATATCTCCTGTAATACAATTATAGATTAAACTGACCAAAATGAGTACATAATTAGCATAATACAACTATAACATAATGCACTGAAATGGCCTCCTAGAACTCGATATTTTTATTAAAGGTGTTCAAGTTTCAAAATTTATTTAATGTATTGTTTTTTAAGTTTAATGAATAACTTGGATAATTTTATACAAATGTATTCATGGTTTCATACATTGATTTACTGTAAAAGAAAATACAACATTTTCCAATATAGGTAGCACTTTATATTTTTTTGAGTTAAATATTGTCATGCTTTAAAGATATCTATTTATATATGTCTCTTTATTTATCTCTTAACAAATCTAATAAAGAACACTGAATAACACAAAAAAAACCTATGCATTATGGTGATAACGAACAGTATTAAACACCAAAGTCTACTTTTACGATGCAAATTTGTAACAAAGCACACAAACCTCAAAATCAGGTGCTATTAGTATACGTGCTATAAAGCATCCCCTCCCGACTGGTCACACTCGCTGTGTGTCAAATGAAAAATTATCAAATACAAATAAGAAAATGATATACAATACAAAATTAGAAATTCGGTCCCTAGACAATGCAAATAAGATATTATTCAATTTATATAGATAAAAATATACATTGCAAATGGAAATTATAGAGTACAAAAAAAAATACAACACAAAAATTTGATTTCATACTTGAGTATTTTTCTTGTTTACTATTTAGAACACGATAAACATCATGTGTGTCTATTTTCAGGCACAAAAAGTCTCATGTAATTTTTAAAACCATGCATATCGCTGAACCAATATATAGCTTAATGAACTTTTATTTTATCATCTGCAGTTTTATTTCGGATAGAGATAATTGAAATCGAAAATACTATCACATTGCATTCCCTCCTCTTGAATTTTTTTTAAAAAAATAACCACCTGATTGTTAGATATATAAATGTTGATGGGAAAATATTTAAGGAAAGAAAATACATGTACATTTCACTTGCAGGAAGTTTTTTTCACATAATTAAAATTTGATTTTGATCAAAATGTAATCTTAAACTTGAAATAGAAGCTATTTTATCTTATTTATTTATTTATTTATTTATTTAACAATTATGAATAAATTAGTTCCTTAAAAAATAATTAAAAAAATAATAAATTTAAATGTTTGTTTTATTGAATATTGTTTAACGTCCTTCTCGAGGGTACCTGTAAAGTGCGAAACGAAATAGAAACGAAACGAAACGAAACGAACTGAAACGAAACGAAATCTGCCGAAACGAAACGAAATCTACCGAAACGAAACGAAACCTACCGAAACGAAACGAAATCACGACGAAACGAAACGAAACCTGCCGAAACGAAACGAAACAAAACTATCAAAATGTTTTGGGTTTTTTTCAAATCAAGGTACATGTATATAATTATATATGTGTAACTGCATGTGGACTTTTTTTTTACTTCAAATAAAATTAATATATATAATGTAGTTCAAGGACTTGTTAATATAAAATTTAATTACTGATAAATTTTGCTCCTTTCTCAATCTAATGATGTATTTACCTGTTTGCCAGCTGCAAATATGCACGAGCGTACTTTGCATGTATAATTTCAATATGTGCAGTATTTTCTAATTTTTATATCTTACTCTTATTTTCAGTCCTTATCTATCTAGATACAACATATCTATCAAAATTGATGCTGTTACATGTAAAGGCTCGTTTATGTACGGGTCGAAATAAAGTCACTGTATTGTTGTATTGCGAATGTCTTAAAACATAGGATAAACCAGCAACTAAGAGTATTTAGTAATCCATTCCGAGGTGTCTGGTTTTATCGTTCAATTATACATGTAACTCCTTGTGTATCCTTTCTACATACATACGGACCTATTTTTATCGAGGTAATTTTCGAGGAAGAAATGAGTGGTTTGCAATACAGAGGCTCGATCAGAGACGTAGAAAACGATTTAACTGACAAGAAACAAACGATGTCAATTTTAAGTAGGTAAATTATTCAGTAAGATATTAATAAAATACGACATAGGGGTCGGAAGCGGGGGCGATGCTAGCCCTCCCCCCACTTTTTTTGCAAAGATATATATTATATAGGCATTGAAAATTGGGGTTAATCTTTTTGTTGGTTAAGCCCCCCCCCCCTCCACTTTCAATATCCTTCCGGCGCGTACGCCTATGTATGAGCTTGAAATCCTACAGCGAAACAATGGCCTGTGGTGCTTGAACTATATAAATTTCATATTAAGTAAAAATAGACCATATAATCATTCTGAAAGTTTTGTTTCGTTTTGTTTCGGCAGATTTCGTTTTGATTTCGTTTCGTTTCGTCCTGATTTCGTTTCGTTTCGGTAGGTTTCGTTTCGTTTCGATAGATTTCGTTTCGTTTCGGCAGATTTCGTTTCGTTTCAGTTCGTTTCGTTTCTATTTCGTTTCGCACTTTACAGGTACCCCCTTCTCGAGAATTTTTATTACTCGTATGGAAACGCCACGACTTGCCGTTGGAGAGCAAATTTCAAGATAATTTGATTTCAGCAGTGTCCACAAAAAAAGGTATTGTGCATGAAAATGTTCAGATGCAATGTTACGAACGTTAAAAACGACAGATCAGCTGTTTTGCAGCTAAGGATAAATTTCACAGTGATTGTATTATGTCTTGAAAAGTTCATTTTTGAGTCACTTTTAGAATTGGAGATTAAACCGCACATGTTTATCTCAAAACATAATCTTGCTATAGAAACACGGAAGTTGCAATCTCAAACAAACAAAAATCTATGAACCATGAGACTTAAAATATTTATGGACAGTTTAGAGGATGTATGCAGTTTGAAAAATAGATATGTAGAAGGAAGAAATTCATCTTTCTCAAAGATTTGCATATCTTATGAACATATTATTCTCACCGTAAACTGTGAAGGGATACATGTCTGCACTAAAAATGGATGCTATTTCTGAGGAAGACATCGACATAAATTATCTGTATGGAAATCAAGTAAGTAGAGAGAGAGAGGGCGGAGGGAAATTTGTTTAGTCAACATGAGCTATAGTTGTCATTTTAAATAACAAACAATTTACGTTTTACAATATTCCGAAGGAACAACACGTAAATAATCTTTTCATGATAACAATTCTTTTCAAAACCTTAACAATAAAGGGATAGATATTTTTTGTTCGGTATATAGAATATCGTCTTTCTCCTCAAAGTTGTATTAACAATGCACGGTTACACAACACATTACTTTTTATGACAGCAAAAGTCTTTAAGCTGCCTTTTTCTCTCACTCAAATCCACATTCAGATCAACCCCTCCTACTAAGAGAGAGAGAGAGAGAGAGAGTTGCAATACTTATTAGGGTACAGGAATAAGCAGACACTATATTTAAAAAATGAATATATACTGCTGCATTACATACTAATCTTTGAAGAAGTTGCTGAAAAAAAAATGCACTTCGCATGTCAAATATTCTGTAATTAAAAACCTTCGTTCCCTTGATAATTTGTTTAGCTGATGAATAATTCAGTAAAATAGACCGTCATTCAACAGAATGGTGAAAAGTCGACTTGGTAAATCATTGATTAAATACCAATAAATAAGAATTTTTTCTTTTATGCACACATTTTGAAAAACGATTGCAGGAAAATCAATGATCAATGATTGATTGATCATGGCGAAATATATTTAAATCACCATTATTTAAATTCAACTCAAAACACGAAATCATGCACGTTCTTTATCGACGAAGCAATCATGCAAGAATCTACAGGGTATTGTGTTAGGGTCTTTTAAATATTCCACATACAGAAAACACATAAACATTTCAAATAAGTCCTCTGCATTTCAATGGATACCATATAATATTCCACGTTTCCAGAATGGCGGAAGAAGATATATCACAAAATTACAGAAACTGGAATACTAAGGATTTTAATCTAAGTGATTCTAGTGTGTATTCCTCGGTAAATATCTTTTACGTACTATCAACAAACTTAACAGGAAGTTAAAACTGTAATTCCATAACACTGTACGGTTGTACTTGTATATTTTATTTAACAATCGATTGTTATCATGGTAGAATCTAAGAATCGTTCTTGTCTCCTTGCTTCTCTAGTTTGTAAAGTGAATTTTTATGAACCAATAATGTATTTCTTAATACGACTAGCTACAAAATGCCAAACTCCCTCTTTGTGAGTCTTGATTGCGATCGGCCTTCCAACAAAATATCCTAATTATCACCCCTTTACTTTTTTGCAGAGAAATGTGGACAATTCAGATGCTATCATTCCAGAGGCTCGCCCCGTCTCACCGGTACGTCTTTGAGTCCTTTAGATCAAGTACTTTATACCAACAAACTTTCAAAAAAATTAAGTATCTCATGCAAACAATTGATTTGTTCTTAAGAAAGGAAGACCATTGTTTTGATTTATGTCGCAATGCTCTAATAAAATTCACGCACCAGTCAAATCATTTATCACGTCCGCTTTTCCACAGTAAGGAAAACTGAACCTTGCTCACATTTCAAAAGACCCTTTTTGTTCATATATACATGTAGAAGTTAGATCAACCGAACCTTACATATAAGTTCTATATAATAAAATTTCAATAAAAGAAATCCAAGAATGTTCAAGTGATGATATGAAAACAACATCGACAAATATGTGTTGCATTACACATGTAATGTGAAATCAATTAATAAAATTCGTGTTTTGGTAAACCACGGTACAGAGGAAAAACAAATTTACTCTGACCTAAATAGAATTCTCCTTCCGGGTTCCAGTTTCAGACATTCTGTGCTATACCTTTAAAAATACACGGTACTGAAATCCGCACTGGCTTTTCAATAACAATTCATTAAAGGGACCTTCAAGTACGTCTGTACGTCTTTAAATAAATAACAGTCCAAATTAGCAATTATGTTTACAATTGCAAAGAAGATAAAAACAGGCAGTTTGCAATGTTTACGAAATAATAAATATTTTTCAAATGGTTTGGGATTAAAAGAAAACTTTTCTTCTCTGACATATGACGGGGACTCGCGTTTTAAGAGAAATCCTTAGACAGCAAACAGTAATCAATGCCCAAATAAGTCCATTATATTAAAAAAAATTTGGAGCAAAACAAACAGATCTTTAGAATGGATCAAGTGCCATGGAAGAGTAAGAATCCCCTGTCGATTGGTTTCACCCTCTCTTGCTCGATCGTTGATGTTTTTAACTGTATTTACATTTTGCATAATACAGAATATAATGCCAGAACGCGTTGTTTAGAATTCAAATTAACGTAGTTTTCTGACTACTTTGGACGAATAAGAAAACGCTCATGTTCTAAAAGAATTTCTTCTTCATGATTTTTATTATTGTAGAGTGCAGTAGATTTCTCACACAGAAGCACTACCTCAACGAAATCCTACACTTCTGGCTATAGCCTGGATCCAAACAGGGTAAATTTTACATACCATTCTAAATTCCTTTTTTGTTTAGAATTATTTCCTCTTTAGATTTTGATTTAAGTGAGATCTACTTGCATTATGGATTTATTAATTTTAGAAAAGCGACACGTTTCAAAAATATACATTACATTTTAATCTTTCATAACTAGAATTTCAATAAAGCTTATTGCATTAAAATATTACAGTTCATTTATACATTTCCGAAAAATAATACTTTCAGTTACGGAAGACTGAGGAAAGTAAGTCGTTTGGAAATGGATCAATTGGTTTCCATAAGGACAGCGAAGAAATATCTTTTTCCAATTCCTACGCACCATCTCAGAGAACCAACATTACAGTAATGTCCTTTACAAAAATTTGAATTTTTTAATTAAAATTTGTATTTGTCTTATTCAAATTTTAATTGAAAAATTAAAATTTTTGTAGAGGACAGTTATGATGAAAATAAACTAAATGTGTGACATATAAATTCATAACAGTTAATTTGGAAAAAAAATTATAAAACCAAAAGTCCCGTAACCCGGCATTCACATTTTTGTTTTATTTCCAGACGTTAACCTCTAAAGACGACGAAGAAGACAAGAAGCCTAATATGGCAAAGAAACGTGTGATGGAAGTGAGTAATAAAATATAAAAGAAATCCTGCTCCAACTAATATCATTGTCAAAGATACAATGATCATAGATACCGTTGACTTAAATTTTTGTTCGAGACTAAAACATAGACACCAACAATTTCCTATTAAGCAAAATTTAGCTTGATATACTTAGGGCAAGGATCTCTTGTTCTCATTTTCAGATACATGTACATATAAAAAATTATATTTACATTTCTCTGATAACTCTTGAAAGTTAGGTGAGTTGATTTCTCAGTAATTCAACCTGTATATAAATTTCGCAAGAAAAGTCAAGAGCATTAAACGCATGTCAATCTCGTACAGCTTTCTTTGTGTCTGACGTCAGTGGGCGGGGACTATTGACATTGATATGGAGGGTCATGTGTACTTTAAATCAATGAAAATCATTTTTTTATTTACAATTTATATTTGCAAGTTTATGTCATATATGAATGAAAATATAAGAAACCATTGTGTAGTTGTTAGATATGTCAGATACATCAAGGATCGAGCATTGACGTGAGATTATTTATGTTTAAAGGACTACGCCCATTACACTAATTATACCACGTGTCCAACTGTCATTGATACCCTGACATACCCAACAAACTAGACAGTGATTCATTATGTAGCTTTGATGTTGAATTTCTATGCTTTTTTGGGGGGTTTAGACAGCCAAACTCGTGGTGGTCTTAATTTGCATGGCAGTGGGGATAGCAGCAGCAGTTGTTCTCGCTACACAATATGGTGACCCTCCTCCAAAAACCCAGAAACGTAAGTAGATGAGATTATGATTAATATTTTTATTGCTTTAAAGGTAATGATTATTGTTGCCTCTTTCTTTGATTTTCTTTCACGTAATTGTGTTTTATTTTCAGAGATTCAACCAAAAGAGTTTGGTAAGTTTGAAAATCTTCATGATCTATACTTTCTTTCTTCCTTTAAATGTTTTATAATGTTAAAAGACAAGGTAAAAGAGAAAAAAATATATATTGAAAGACTAATATATTAATGTTATAATAACAGCAGTCTGTAATTTACAAGAAAAGAATGATCTGGGGAAGAGTTTAAAAGTTTAGATCTCGTTATCAATGTACAGTTTTGGTAACATTATCATCCTCTCCCAGTGGAGTTTAAAGGGATATAGTAACGTGATTATGTATGTGTGTGTTAATTTGTGTGTAGTTTGTCCTGTGCGAAACGGAAGCGATGTAGTTTGCATTGGGATCGGTGCCGAATGTTGTTTTGATTTATAGGTATGCTCTTTGCGAGTGGATGCTCTCCTCTGCGATGTCCTTGTTGACATTAAGTAACTTGACTTTTAAGGTTAATCATTATGTTTTGCATTGTGATCAATTTATTTTTAAAGTGAATTTCTTTTTGAAATTAAACGCAGAAATAATATCATTTACGACATGGAAAACATGTTTGAGAGAGGATACCTCCAAAAAATCAGCAAAAGCCAAAGGATCAATCCTTTTGACAGTCATCTTTATTTCGAAAATAAAGATTAGGATTTCAAACAAGAACATTTTCACTTTATATCTAAGAATGTTAACATGGTTCATAGATTTCTATAGAAATTTCAAGGTCAAAATGGTTTCATTCTTGAAAGAATACGCATTCATGTGGCCCAAAAAGTAATTTAATCAATAGAGATTAATTTTTGCTACACATATATAAAAGAGTGCCATTAGATTATTGTTATTTTCTTCATTAAAGCCAATACTAAGGGTCCTATATGACATTGTCATTCTTTCAGGTTGTTTAACCATCATCGCTTTTATCAAAGTAATAAAATTGTTCACTCAAAAACATCAACTTGTTGCATTTCACAATCTAATTAGGGATTTCTTTTTATATTGTAGACTGTGTATTAAATTCTCCTGACAGAGCAAAGACCGTTAAGCTGAAATTTAACTCAAGCATCATGATTGTATGTGACTACGATGAGAATTTGAACATCAATAACTCTTCTATAATCATGGAATTTATACCAAAATATTACCTTGTTTCGACACAGGATCATATTGAAATCAACAGTACCCTTCAATCCGTCCCGTTTCGGGATGGAAGATGGGAAATTTGGTTTTCCACCCAGAAGAGGAATATTGAATTTCGAAGAGACCCTGTGAAGTGTGGAGGAGATGGAACATATAAACTGACTTTAATTACGTCAGAGAAAAGTTTTCCCAGCGAAGTGAACATCGAAATTGAGAGTAAGTTAACAGAAATGTTTGAAGTTTGGGATTTTTTCTCTTGCAATGGATCATATCATATTTCAAAGATTTTTTCTACAAACATCAAATCAAATACGTTGCATAATATGATGATACCAGAACTCTTAATATCAATTCAAGACAAACAGGCAATACCAGTCAAGCAGTATAATGCTTGAAATAAATAACAAAATGGTGAAGAATCTACTAAAAGCATTCTTTGTCTATGTAGAACACAATACATGACAAACATATAACCAAAACAAAACATAAAATAAAATAGAACAAGAACTTCATAAATAGAAATTTAAAGGATTTGGCTATCATTTCTCACCACTTTCTTTGTCATCCTACTTGGTGCTTTATATTTTATTTTCAGTCATTGCCATAAAAAAAACTTACATGATTCTTTTTCTTTATTATTATTTTTTTAATTTATTAATTCCAAAAATGTTTCTTGAATATACGTGTATTTTCATATCGTTGCTATTATAACCTTTTACTCATTTGTCTCTGAAGGTGAAACATCAGACGTTCGATTGGAAGTTGGACAAACAGAGGATGATGGGAATTATAAGATCACGTGTTCCTCTACGAGTGACTGTACACCTATGCCGATTACCTTATTAGGAACAATAGGAAATAAAGTTGGTCCACTTTATGGTGTAAATTTCACGTGCATTGTTAAATACAACGAATACGATGGTTGGTCAGTAAGTTGTACGGGAAGTATTCCCAAAGATGTTGTAAGTAGTATTAACGAAGTCACGTGCCGACCTGGTCTACAGAATCAAACCGAGGCTAAAACCACCGAAGCCAAAGTCAGTAAAGAAGTTCTTCTCTGTAAAGATGAAAAAGGTTGGTATAAAGATTAAGTGAATGTTTTAAACTCGCTTGCAACAGATAAATACGATTAAGGGAAACATTAAATAAATATATTTTTCCTCTTGAATGTCAATAAATGAATGTTGTTTCGTATAATATATATAATACTGATATAACTGTTGCTGATTATTGTGGTTTGACATTGAATATATATGCAGCTAATTCGTATTTTGCACGGTTAAAGTTACCCATTTCATTACAGACTGCACCTTCAAATGCCCCCAGAAAAATGAAGACAGGTATTACATAGATCCAAGATACTGCAACATATTTCACAGATGCGTGGGTGAGCGGCTTTACACGGCCCCTTGCGGTAAAGGAACATATTTCTCGAGAACGTCATGCGTCTGCAGCCATATCAATGACGTCACAGACTGTAATGCAAACGGAACACGACTAAACATAGGCGACAAAAAAGTGTTGTGTGAAGATTCTGGCAGTGGTTAACAGAAAATACACGTACAAGCATTCAGGCTTTAGCTGTGATATACTATATCGCCATCCAATATTTTTTCTGCATGCCACAGGTTTACTTAGATACATATGCATAAACAATGAAAGTATCATGATCTTGTTTTTTACTTGGACGTTCATCGTCTTTAAACAAGAAAATACATTTAAAATAGTTAATTTCTTTACATTGTTTTGTATATTTTACGTTCAATTAAATGTTCATATCTGCGTATTCATTTTTTTACGAGAAGAATATTGTCCTTTTTTTTGATATCCAGGGATTATTACAAATAAGAAATTTTTGTAAAAATAACCTTGAAAATTAAAACATACTTGAAATAATGCTCAGATGTACAGTATTTTTTGTTTGTAAAATGAAATTTTACATGGGCATTATCCTGTCTAAACATGCACATAGACTATTATATTAACCAGATCAGTCAGTAAACACTAATTCTATTGTAATTAATGCCAAGTACAAATATTTTGCAATATTTATATCTATTTATTTGTTATTCCTTTTTAATTTTATTGTATTTTTTTATCAGCTAATATCACAAGAAACACCGCATGCAAATTTTTCGCTGTAATTTTTATCTTGTAAAAATAAATGTACATGTACAATGTCTTTATCAACAGTGAACTTGATATTGTCTCAATTGACGTTCGTGCTTCATTTTGTGACATTCAGTATTTGCGTAAAAAAGAAAAATCTACAGAAATCCAAAGTTATAAGTCTATCTTAAGCCTTTAATAATCAGATTGATATAATGAACATTGTCTGTATATTGAGAAGGAAAATATAATTTTGTTATTTAATTTTCAACCTTGCTGATTTTTTTCTTCGGGAAAACATATTTGTTACGAAGTCAATTGAGTTGGTTTAAAATTGTTGGTTCAATAATCAACTTAAGTTGATTGAGGTGGTAGAAGAAGTTATTTTATATAAAAGTTACAGTAACAATTAAACGTTAAAAAGATAAGACGTCAGAATGTTCTTTCCCTTTGAAAATCACGAGATAAACAATATATTTACTTGCACGAAGTACATCTTAAAATGTTTTCATATGAAATATACTAAGTTGATTATCATTTACAATCGACAAAACGACAGGTCCATTTCCGAAAAAAACATTAAAATATACTAATCGCATAAAAACATGAGTAACACAGTTTGTGTTTGATATAAGTTTTTGCTAATAATTTTTTTTCTTCACCTACATACATTATATAAACTGGAACAGGTAAAAATCATTCCTTCCTTTATGCGGATAGACTGTATGTTCAGAGAAAATATTATTACTTAAACAGTTTTTTTCCTTATCCAAAATTAATTACCACAGGAGTAAATTAAGGTGCGCATTAAGGAATATTAAATATAACCAACTTCTTTCATTTTGACTTCCGGGTCCCTTTGTTATGTTAAGGAGCAATTTTGTTTGTTCTTGTTACTGTTTTGGAGACAATCTGTATTGTGAACATAGGCCACAATGCCAGTCAGGTTTTGAATTAAATACAGATTTAAAAAACACAATCGAGATATGAAAGATAAACTTTTATACTTGTGTTATGTGATAAATGGAATATAAAAAAGACGCATTGCGTAATGCTTAACTTGAAGATAAAAGCTTTGTTATTTTGATATTCACATGTATCGTTTACAGACATGTATCCTTTTATCTCTCCGTGAAGCTGCATACATGAGAAGAATCTTTTCTTCAAATTACAGATCACAAACGACTGAACTCTACATCATAATTTGTAGGATTTTACCTAGTATATGTATAAAACTTTATATAGGTATGTTACAGAATTTTACTTTTTTGACATAGCGTTATTAAACGGAGATAACAATTGGAGATTGTGCAATAGCACTGTCCCGTACCCGCCTCTTTATGTGTCAATGTGTCCGATTTTTTGAAAAATAATTTTTCAGAACATTTTTTCCCCACATTCTTTTCAAATCATGCATGTTACGCAATTAGGATACTTTTCCGTTTAATTTTTTTTTTAAATTCGGTTTTGCAATGATTAAAAATAAAAGAACAATGATTTTATGCTGACAAGAATTAAAAAAAAACATACAAAACAAATTAGTTTGGTACATTTCATTAATTAATTATCAAGTGACTTTGCATAATGACAAGAAGTACATGTATTATGATCTATCCTTCATTAATTGATTTTGCCCAATTTCAAGTTTACTTACCCTACAAGTTGACGATATATATACATGTACATATGTACATGTATTCTGTATTCTGATCTTAGATATTGCATTGGTACAAAAATTAAAATTCTTATTAAATATTTCGATACACAAATAACCATGAGTACATAATACAAGAATGATTTCCGTTTGCTATTCTAAATGGTGTTGCAATGATTACTACAAGAAAAATCTCTACGACGTGCTATGTAACCTCTACTTCCACATTTTTGTTCAATGTGTTAAAAAAGCTTATTGGTTAAGATTTCATATATGTGATTTGGGTTCATACTTCATGTAAGAAGTCACGAATGAGATGAAATGGGTTGGTGGGTGGGGCAATTGTCCAAGACAGTGCTTCTGGTAGAGTCAGCGGCATTTAGCGGCATTTGTCCAACACAGACCCTCTGGTAGAGTCAGCGGCATTTAGCGGCATTTCTCCAAGACAGACCTTCTGGTAGAGTCAGCGGCATTTAGCGGCATTTGTCCAACACAGACCCTCTGGTAGAGTCAGCGGCATTTAGCGGCATTTGTCCAAGACAGACCTTCTGGTAGAGTCAGCGGCATTTAGCGGCATTTGTCCAACACAGACCCTCTGGTAGAGTCAGCGGCATTTAGCGGCATTTGTCCAAGACAGATCCTCTGGTAGAGTCAGCGGCATTTAGCGGCATTTGTCCAAGACAGACCTTCTGGTAGTCAGCGGCATTTCTCAAAGACAGTGCTTCTGATAACATTTAGAGAATTTGTTTAACAAGATCGAGTGCTCTAATTCCTTTCTCCTTTATTTTCAGTAAATTCCTTTATCTTGAAAAAGATATAGGACTCAGGAATGAACAAGTCCATAAATACTGTTTTGTATAGATCATAGATCTTAATTACAATTTAATCTGTTGTTTTTCCATGGATTTAATGATATACAGTAATTTAAAGAGAAATGGTTTACAATTTTATGTATGAAAGACACTTAAATAGTATAATATTTGTTTTTCCCTAATGGCAGGGACTTGCTCAATTAGTAATATTTATATTTATTTCATTTAGTTTGATGGTATTTCCATTATTATTAAAAAAAATATTACCCCGGTAATTAAATATCAGTTTAAATTGTACAAATAATGTTTTGTACTTTGGTAGTATCTTTGAAAATAATTCAATTGAATTGAATTGAACATATTTTATTGACAAAGTCAAAAGGATCAGACACAAGTTCAGAAACTTAGATGGTCTTCTCCTGATATAACATTTTGTGAAATTGCCAAAGTGAAACAAATATATATACATATGGTCTACTATATACATTGTATACATTGTAGCAATAGAAAGGAATAAATTCTTTAAATATACAAATATCATTTGAGCTGGTGAGAAAAAAAAAGTAAACTTATTTTGAAAAACGACCACATTCATTTAAGAAAGTTTGAATAGTCTTGAAAAGTTCAGTATTTTGTTCAAAAGTTAGAGAATCATCGCCCCATAGCATTAAATGTACATCTATAATATGTAAATAATTTAATGACAATAGCTTATTCATTAAGGAATTTCTTGCTTTTACATAATATTTACAAACAAAAAACAGATGATATGTATCTTCTAGTAGTCCACAAGAACAATTAGGACTGGTTATAAGGTTACATCGATATAAATCAGACTTTAAAATACAATTGTGTCTTAATCTTGTATGAATTATGTTCAAGAACCTTTTTCCATAAGAAAAATATTTCTGAGGTTTTACAATATTACTTTGCAGATATTTTTTGAAAATTTTAATAGAAGTTGCCTCCCTTGTCTTTAGACTAAGGGAATTCCACTTTCTAACAGTATCGGGAATAAATGATTTATTGTAGAGCTCTAATCTGTATTTTGGCAAAGAATAATTTAAAGAATTCCGGGTAGTGTATCCTGAAATATTGCCTCTTGTATCAGGTACTAAGTTTTGCAAGTAAATAGGGACTAATTTATTGTGCATTTTATACATTGTTATAGTCAGGCGGCATAGGCAACCTATTGTGCATTTTGTGATAAAAGCACCAAGTTTTGTACAAATATAGACATTTATTGTCTGAACAAATCTGGATATTGGGCCATCGCGGAATCATGTCATGGCGGACATGACGGCCATTTTACAAAATGGCCGCCATAATTTTTCGTTATATTTGAAATTTACTTAAATCTCTCTCAATATAAGTGATTAATCATGGTATACAGAAAACAAAAACACTCTCTTTGTCTTCAAAAAGAAAAAGTAAAAGTTTTAAATGAAATAAAATGGTTATAACATTTCTTTAAAACAAACAAAACCACTTTTTCCTCATTATTTAACATTAAAAGAACATATACTATCTGATTTTGATGTGCATACTCCCTATGATTTAAATATGTTTATTTGTGAGCATTATGTCCCTTTGAGAATTTTTCATTCGTATTATGATGTCATCAGGTGCTGCTGGGCGTGAGGTGTGAGGGGTGTGTGTGCAAAATTATACCTATACTTTGTACAATCTATTTATAAGTGTTGGATCTTTTTTCACAACAGCGCCTTCTTAGACACAAAACTTATATCTATTTTGTCTCATCGTCCACTGGGTTGGGAACTTACTTCGTTATTAATTCCTTAATTCACAACTTTTGACTTTAAAACACTCGATCTAACCACGTGACTTACCCTATGGTTAATATTAAATGCATGTACTACTAAGTAATGAAACAGTTAAAAAGACAACATGTTTATATATGTAAGACATATATTAGGTCCTGGTGACAACAATAAAAGCTTTGATTAAGATGTTGTTTGTCCTGACTTTCAGTAATAAGCTCCTTCACATCCACATATGCTAGTGCACTTCAGATCTGAAAGTCTGCAGCTACACTTTTTTGAATAACATCCTTTATTTTTAAGTCACAGTTGCATCTTATTAGTTCAAAACAGACTTTGGAGACTTCCGGCAGTGTTGTCCATTGGGGCTCATACAGACCATCTGTCATAATCCAACCCCACCTGATAGGAGAGGGTAATAATGGATTTAGTTGCAGTACCTGTCCTCATACATGTCCTCCCTGGTAAGTTGCTCGTTTTACGTGCTCTAGGGCAGCCTTTATTGGCGGAATTTGTTTCACATCTGGTTTACTTGCGAAGATCTTTTGCCGAGCTTGGTTTATGTCAAAGCATGTACTGGTCCTGTCATAGAGAAGGATGACAAATCTTCAATGGTTTGCATAACATCGCTTGGTATATAAGTTTGTGGACAAACTAATTTAACAAGTGCGTCAGTGAGCCAAGGTAGGGCCTTCCAAGTTTTCCGTGCAGTTTTTTGCCACGCCCACCAAAGCCGGAAACAGTGTCTCATCCAGTCAGCGTATGAAACATTGGAAGTGTCAAAGCTTTTCTGTGTCCAAGGCCACGTCCAATTACTAGTATATGGACTGCCACGCGACGGAAATTTTTTCCAGTTCCAAGGGCTATCCAAAGTTCCGTCTCTGGGTTCAAAGTTTCCACCACGGACACACCATGACCACAACATTGGTGTCAACAGTGGGGATCAGTATTCTGTTATGGCCTTGGCGAGATGCATGTGCTGTGTGTAACAGCATTCGGCTATCTGCTTCCTCGTGATTACATG